CTTCAGGGATTTGAAGTTTTCATTGTAGAGTCCTTTTAAGTGGTTAGGTTTATTCTTAGTATTTTATTAGTTTTGATGTTATTGTAAATAGGAGTGTGTGATCTCTTTTTTAATGTGTTTGTTGTTGGTATAGAAAAGCTACTGATTTTTATAAGTTGATTTTGTACCCTGCATTTTGCTTAATTTAGTTGTTAATTGTTTCCAGATTTTTTCTGATGGTATTTCTGGAATCTCTTATGTATAATATCATTCATATGCAAGTAGGAATAAGTTGACTTGTTTTCATATTCATAGCCCTTTAATTTCCTTCTCTTGCCTTACTGCTCTGGCTGTTGCTTGCAGCACTATGTGAAAAGTAGTGGGGATAATATAACTTTTATTATGTTGAGGTATGTTCCTGACAGTCCTACATTGCATAGGACTTTTTATCATGAAGGCATGTTGGATTTAGTCAAAGGCCTTTTCTGGTTCTATTGAGATGATTGTGTGATTTTTTTTTTTTTTATTTTAAGTCCATTTAGATGAAATATGTGTGTGTGTGTGTGTGTGTGTGTGTGTGTGTGTGTGTGTGTGTGTGTGTGTGTGTGTATGTTGAACCAGCTCTGCATTGGTCTTTTTGATATGTGCTTGTGTTTCAGTATGCTGGTTTTATTAAGAAGTTGGTTGGTTTTTTTTTGGGGGGGGGTAGGGTGGTTTTGTTTTTTGTTTTTTGTTTTTGTTTTTGATTTTTGGCATGCTTGGGTCCCTTGCCATATGTATTAATTTGGGAATTAGTCTGTCAGTTGCTACAGAGAAGTCACCTGTATTTCCAATACCTATTACAGTGAATCTTTTGATCGTTTAGGAATACAAGTTTCAAGTTGGGAGTTTCTATCCTCTGTATTGGCTAGTTTCATATCAGTGTGATGCAAGAGGAGGTAACCTCAATTGAGAAAATGCCTCCATAAGGTCAGGTTTTAGGCAAGCCTGTATAGGGCATTTTCTTAGTGATCAATGAGGGAGGCCCAGCCAATTATGGGTGGAGACACCTCTGTACTGATGGTCCTGAGTTCTATAAGAAAGCAGGCTGAGCAGGGGAGCAAGCCAGTAAGCAGCATTCTTCTATGGCCTCTGCATCAGCTCCTGCCTCCAGGTTCCTGCCCTGTTTGAATTTCTGCCTTGGCTTCTCTCAAAGGACTAAGACTCAGGATATGTAAGCAAAACACCCCCTTTCCTTCCCAAGTGGCTTTTGATCATTATGTTTCATCACAGCAATAGTAACCTTAACTAATACACCATCTAACAGTCTTAAAACTTGTAGTCTAACATCTAAAACTTATAATCTGGTTTACATTTATTTGAATCTTTTAGTTTTCTTCTAGCAATGTTTTATAGATTTATAAGTTTTTCATTTTTTTTTTTGAAACATACTCAAATGTTTTACTTTTGGTGCTATATGAATGTTTTCTTAAATTTCATTTTCAGATTTTCTTGCTGGTATACAGAAATACTTGATTTTGCATATTGGTCTCTTATTGTGCAACCTTGTTAAACTTGTTGGTTCTAATTGTGTGTGTGTGTGTGTGTGTGTGTGTGTGTGTGTGTGTGTGTGTGTGTGTTTTAATGTATCCCCTGGGAATTTTGTAAATAGGAGACCATATCATATGTGGATAAAAAATAGTTTTACCTCTTTTTTTCCTCCATTCTGGATAGCTTTTGTTCCTTGATTTCTTGCACTGATTCCACTACAAATACTGACTAGAAATGAGAGTACTACCTTTTTTGTGGGAAGTCACTAACAAATGGAGTAGTAGGCATATATTGTATATAAGTCTATATCATCATCTCAAGGCACCTATATTTTGCAAAGTGAATATCATTTTCCATTGGAATTTTCTTGGTCATTTTGGTAGATTTTTATATGGCCTTTGTTATAGATTATACTACTAATGTATAATCATGCAACATCTCATTTTGTGCATATTTAATCTTTAGGACAGATTCTTAGAAAAATCATTTAATTTTGTTAAGATTTGATCAAATTGCTTATGTGTGTGTTCTCACTAGAAAAATACATGCAAGTGTCTTTTTCCTAATTTCTCACTAATTTGGTCTGTGAAAAGAAGGAGCATTTTTGTATAGTTATCATTTGTACTTCTCTTATACATGTAGTTTTGTGTTTTTTCATTTGTTTAGAATTTTAATTTCCCTTCCTGTGATTTTTTTTTTTTTTGTTCATATTCTTAATTAGTTGGTCTTAATTAGTTGGTCAGCCTTTTGCCTGTCTGTCATGTGACTTGTGTCTTGACTGTAGTTTTTGTGTCTTGACATTGGTGGTTCTTGATGAGATGTTTGCACAGTCCAATAAAATTAGACGTGTGTGTGTATGTGTGTGTGTGTGTGTGTGTGTGTGTGTGTGTGTGTTGCAGCTTGATTTTGTGTCATATGTAAAAAGTTGTTTCCAATACTTAATATAAAAAGATACATGTTTAATACTATTAAAACCAAACATGTTTTTTAAAAAAAAAATCTTGCTTCTCTCTTAAAAAGAAAAAATGGCAAATTCCGTTTGTAGTTAGTTGCTGGCATTTGTGTGGCTCCAAATCTGTAGTTATTATGTAGTGGTACTTAGATGCTCTGTGATAACTTACCTAGTAAAATTTGAGTTGCATTTGGATAGCGAGGTGATTTCTGAAAAGTCCCTTTTTTGTTAGAGAGTTCCATTCTAGCTGGTATAGTCCTCCTCCTGTTTGGATCCAAGTTTTTTGTGTTTGGAGTCACATATACAAAGTAGAAAAGGAACATAACTCCTCTGTTCTTTCCTCGTTTCTATGCCCATTCAAGTTCTTATTCTGGGGTCTTTTTGGATTTGTCCGGTATTTAGATGTTTAGATCCTTAAAGAAAATTAGCTTTTTCTCCAGCTAAATTCATTTCCCATTTATGTACCTTTTCCATAAAATATTTAATAAGGAATGACTACATACTTAGCCCTGTTGTAAGAGAATATGTATGCCTTGCTCTTTAAGGGTCAAGGCAAGGTCACAGACAGTAAGTAACACTGCTACCTTATTAATGCTATTATTAGTAGAAACTGTATTGGTTACTTTTGTTTGTTTGTTTGCAAGTATGCAAGGACAGTAGTTGAGTAAAATAGCCTGAAATTCTAGAAGAAATTCTCAGCTTGTTTCTCTAAGTTGTACATGGTGACTAGGATCCTCAGAACTAGACTTACAAGACAGCTAGTCCATATTTGTATAAGATCCTTGTACACTACACCATCAGCATGGCAAGTTCTTCCCTACTTGTAACAGGTGAAATACATTTTTACTGAGTTATCCTGGCCTTCTAATACTGCCGTATCTTACAGGAAAAAACTTATTTAATCAAACATGTGACTCATTTGCCCCTTTATTTTTATTTTTTTTAATACAGGGTCTCACTATATAGCCCTGTTGCCTATCTGGAATTTGCTATGTAGACCAGGCTAGCCTCCCATTGGGGGTGTGCTCTACTTGACTTGAGTTTACTTTGTTGGGTATGGTGGCTCAATCTGCAGCCACAACTACTCAGGATAGGTACTGCGACAGAAAGATTTCTTGAGCCTGCAGTTCAGTGTCACTCTGGCAGCATAGAAAAGAGAATTTGTCTTCAGGAGGAAAAAAAAAGTACTCTTGTAAGTCACCTTGAATAAAGCACATGTAAACAAAATGACCGTTATTTACAAGTTACAAATGTTGTATTTGGATTTTCAAGCATCTACTCTGCATGGTGATACATACAATGTGGAAAGCATCACAGTAATATGACACTAGAAATGGGGATTTCTGTTCAGCATTTATAAAAATGGATTATAAGACATCAGGGTAACAGATTTCATCCTACATGGTCTTCTAAATTAAATCTTAGTAGTTACCCTTTCTCCCTCTCTTTAGAATTAGTGAGCAACTATTTGTCAAAAGAAAACCTAAAAGATAGAGCCTATGTAGTATTCCTTCTCAATTTGAATTTGGATTTCTGGCTTCTATTAAACAAATATTTATGATTGAGGAAGTGCAGGACCATGGAAAGAAAGGGCTTTTGTACAGTATATATGTGGACAAGGTTGTCCTCCCAGTGGAAGTATGAGGCTTCTCAGACCTGTTCAGAAATGGACTCTTCTAAGTTGATGCTTTACTTAATGTTTTCATTACTAGGTATTAAACCCAATATGCATTAAGAAAGGATATTACCATTGAGCTGTGTCCCTAGACTAGATTTTCAAACATGAAAATACTAGCTTTAGGATTCTGGAGTTCTCAAATGATTTTTGTTTTTGTTTGTTGAATGTGTGTGTCCATCTGGGTTTTGTTTTCAAGATAGCTGCTCTTTGTAGCTCAGGCACTGACCTCAAACAACCAGCCTGCCCTCCCAGATTTCCCAGGACTGGGATTACAGACATATGCCAGTATACCCAACTCACTTATTTTTATTTTTTTTAAATCATTTGAAAAATAGTAGCATTCATAATGATTATGTTTTTATTACTTTTTATCCTTAATTATTTGCTGTAATAAACAACAGTATCCAGAGTTCAAACCTCTATTAGACATCTAGTTGGTGAGTAGAGGGGAACACATGCTCTTTACATATCATCTGGCCTATTCAGTTTTTAGCAGTTATAAAAATGAGTATTTCATGATGTTTAGGGTAGTAATAAAGACCAAAGTCATTATATTTTATGTATTTACAAAATTCATCTATTACTTCTGATGAAAATATTAAATATGGCTTTTGTAAATTAGTGCATGTGTGCTTACATGTCATGGTGCTTGTGGAGGTCAGGGAATACCTTTCAGGGGTTAGCTCTCTCCTGCCATGTGGCTCCCACTGATGGAACTCAGGTCATCAGGCTTGGCAGCCAGTGCCTTCACCCACTGACCACCTTGCCCACTCTCTAGATAATACCTTGTAAAAGTAAGAAAAAGATTGATGGAAGAAAATAACACATGAGCAATATTGCTTTAATCCATTATTTTTTCAGGCTCATGAGAGGCTTGAAGATTCAAAATTAGAAGCTGTCAGTGACAATAACTTGGAATTAGTAAATGAAATTCTTGAAGACATCAGTCCTCTAATAAGTGTGGATGAAAATGTGGCAGAACTGGTTGGAATACTCAAGGAACCTCACTTCCAGGTAACTGTGCCTGTCCTCCTCCCATAGCTTTCTCCCTCCTCATTAAAGTAATTTAGTATTGTGTAGGGCCTGTTTTAGAAGTTTGTTAAGTCCTAGACTAGGTAGGTATTCTAATATCCCAATGGTAAAGAAACATAAACAGGCATATATACATCACAGAATGTTCAGCGTCTGTCACAGAAAGAAATAACCTTGGCTTTTCCTTGACCATCAGACCAGGTCCTAGGAATAATTCTCCTCACTTTGACAGTGTTGTTGCCACTGTCTTTTGTTTGTCGGTTTGTTTGTTTAGCACTTTTGTTTCTTTATTGTTGGGTGAGGGGCATGAGCCATGGCGATGTAGAGAGATCATAAGACACTCTGTGGGCGTCCGTACTCTCCTCTTACCATGTGGATCCCTGAGATGTGGTCAGGGTTGGTGCAGGAGCCTTTACCCTCTAAACAATCTTGATGCCCATTTTTTCCTTTATTAGTACCACTGTTTTTCTCATTCCTCCTTTAGCCTAATTTGGACCATTTTTAGTATTGCTACAGTATCAGGGTAAATTCAATGATACCCATGATGAAAAGATGACGGACGTTTGTCTAAGGATGGAAAATGTTATGTAGCATACTTTTTCCACATAGATTTAAAAAAAAAAAAAAAGAAAAAAAAAAAGGCCCACACATAAGTTAAACAGTTTTACAAAGAAAAATTTCACTTTAGAACAGAAATGATGGGAAATTTTTATATTAAACCCGTAATAGTTAAGAATGTATGGTAGTGGAGACTATTAGGGAAGTTACAAATAATTAAGAACCTCAGAAATAACATTCAGCCAGGTATGGCCACTTGTTCTGTGACAGACATTGCATTTTAGTAGGGGGATGAAACGATAGGATAAAAGAAGAACGTGTCACTGTTTTTCCTGCAATCTTTACCCTCGAAATTAGATAACACTCCTTTGCTTTTTTAAGACACCGTTTATGAGGGGAAGGCTATGTGATTGAGTTTATGCAAGGCAGTATAAAGTATTTGAATTTTATCTTGATGGCCGTGGAGAATCTTGGGGCCAGGGTTATGCATGTATGTGTATATACGTGTATATACACATACATATACATATATACATATACATACATACATATATATATATATATATGAATTTACAACGCATATCTATGGGATTCCCATTTTCCTTTTTACTGTGGTGTTTACTTGCAAAGACCAAGCTATTGCCTTCATTGTCCCATTTCCTGAGTTTATCTGGTTGATTTTCTGATTTTTTTTTTTCCAAGACAGGGTTTCTCTATAGCTGTCCTGGAACTCGCTCTGTAGACCAGGCTGACCTCCAACTCACAGAGATACACCTGCCTCTGCCTCCCTGGTGCTGGGGTTAAAGGCATGTGCCACCACCGCCTGGCCTGATGTGTTATTTCTTATTGAAGTTCTAATTAAAGGGTTGATGATTCACTTCTCAAGTGCACTACTTTAAGCTTGAATGCATCTTAAATAATGATGCAAAATGAGTTGACTGTATCAGAAAATGTAGAATACCTAGTTCCCTACCAGTGTCGGCACTGAAATTGGTTCCTTGTTTAAGGGCTATGATAGTCTAATCCTTCTCTCCACTGGGAGGTAATCTAGTGTGTTGTTAGTTTTAAATTATATGGTTACTTTTTTATTTGAGAGTGTATTAATTGCTCCTTTTTTGGGGATAGAGTCTGGTTACATAGCACAAGCTGGCCTCTTACTCACCATTTATCTCTCCTACATTGGCCTCCAGAGTACAAGCATTATAAGAATGTTTCACCACACCAGGCTAACATCATACAGGAGTTATTCCTAATAACCACTTACCTCTAGATAAACACAAATTAATAACCCTTGCCTAAATCAATATTTTCATTCTTTGTATGTGAGGTGGCATTCTTCCATAAATCCAGAGTTTATCTTCAGCTGACCTATTGCCCTGTAACATTTCCACCTGGAAAGAGAACAAAATGATGGGTCCTATTCCTTAACAATTTTTCAAGTAAAAGTTGTTGAAAACATCAGCTTCAAATGATAACAAATGATGCTTTCTAGCCCTTTTATTTCCTAAATAGCTTGGTGTGTCTAAGATTTTTTTTTCCCCCCTAAATGTGGAGTTTCAATTCTCTATAATAGTTAACTCTTTTTGGCACTCAAATTATCCTGACTTTAACCAGGGGTGAGCAGCCTTTTAGTACATGAATCTGGAACACATGAGAATTCTTGACCTGAGAGATAAAATTGTATTAATAGTGTTTCGTGTAGTCACAGGAGTAGAAAGCCCTGCCTCAAAATAGAAGCTCCGGTTAAAGCTTTGAATAACTTCCAACATTATTAGGAAAACCTCTCACATAGAGATTTCTAATTTTTTTACTTTTTTGAAATTTTTATGTGTGAATGTGTATTTGCTTGTGTGCTTCATGTGTGTGCATATATGCAAAGTCTAGTGGTCAAAGTCTGATGTTTTCCTCAGTTACTCTCCACCTTTCCCTCCCTCCCTTCCTTTCTTTTTTGAGACAGTTTATCACTGGACATGGAGCTTACCATTTGGCCAGCAAGACCCAGAGATACTCTTGTTTTCACTTCACAGAGCTAGGATTGCAGATATTCACCACTGCTCCCAACTTTTATATGTGTACTAGAACTCTGTACATGGTACTTAGGTTTGCGGGGCAAGCACCTTACTGACTGAGCTGACTTCCTGACCTTGTTTTTAAATGTTTTCCTACTACCTTACTAGTGATTTTATAGAATTATCAGGAATTACCAATTAAGCCAGTGCTCAGATTGCTTCTGTCGTGGATATGTTGATGCTTGTTCACCTCTTCTGTTTTGATTGGTTGTGTTTGAACTTGTGTTCTGCAACTCAGACATTTTGTAGCTTAGTGTTATGGCAAGTATTGAATTATAACAACTTCTTTAGGGTAAGGGATTTTTAAAATATTTAGTATACAAAAAAAAATATTCCTAGCCAACTACCTCAGAATCATCTATAATAGCATACACACAATAAAAATAAAAAGCAAAATGAACATTTTATTTGGAACCATTTCTGATTCTTTTATAGACTAAAACCTTAATTGGTAATATGCAATTTCCTATTAATGATAGGAGGGGCTGATAATTATTTTCTTTTTAGCATACCTTTTGTACATGTACAAAGTATATCAACATATTAACATAATGAAATTTATAGTCTTTGTTGCTTGGCCTTTTTTTTTTTTTTTTTTTTTTTTTTGTACCAGATGAATAGAGATTAGTGGTAAGACTGAAGAGGATGCTGATACTGTTGATAGGAAATTTGTTACCTCCTTCTACCAGGCTTAAAAAACTGAGGTTTGGCTTCTAGTGAATGTGATGCTTTAAAAATGAGATTAAACTTTACCAGTCTCTTCAAACGTGTAAACCTAAATATGATATTGTTTGATGTTAGTAAAATAATCTAGTTTTACTTTTCTTTAAAGTAGTATTATGATTTGACATAATTCATACTGGGCATTTAATAATGTGTCCTTAGAGACTTTTAATACTCAACAGTGATAATGAACTAATAAATTATTTTTAGCAACTTGTTCCATCAGTAGCTAATAACCACAGACTGTTTTGACTCCTTACAGTCGCTCCTGGAGGCCCATGATATTGTGGCATCAAAGTGTTACGATTCGCCTCCCTCAAGCCCAGAAATGAATAATTCTTCTCTCAATAATCAGTTACTGCCAGTAGATGCCATCCGTATTCTTGGTATTCACAAAAGAGCTGGAGAGCCATTGGTGAGTAGATGAGTCACTGCCTTCTTAAATATGAAATGTAGTGCAGCCCTGTCTCTGCCCTTGATTTACTGTTGGAACTGTTCTCCTGCTTATTTTATCAGTCTTTGGCCTTTGTATGAGTACACAGCAGATGATCTGTCAATCATGTAGACTATGAAACCTTAAGCTGACTTGAAAGCTATAAATATGACAGTGGGAACAGGAAAACCATTTCATTTCTTCCCAGCCTTTCAGAAATTAACATCTGTTTGCTTACTAATGACAACACCAAAACAAGGAAGAAAGTTGCTGTTAAAATTTGAAGTATAATGGGGCTTTATAAGTAGTGAAGTTAACTATTCTCTTACTTTTTTTTTTTTTTTATTTGTGTAGCAAATAGCTACACACAAATAGCACTGTGGTGTAGCAAATAGCACAAGCTGGGAATCGTTGTTGCTTCCTTAAGCCTCCTTCGTCTATGGAATACAGCTAGATTTCAGGGGAACCCAGGAGCATTGGTGTTCCCTCTGATGTCAAAGTTGCACTTAGTATATTGAAACTTAACAGGAAATACATGGGAAAAGAATTTACATATTTATTCTTACTGAGATAAAATCATTTTTTTTTTTTTTTTTAAATTTCCTACAGGGTGTAACATTTAGAGTTGAAAATAATGATCTGGTAATCGCCCGAATCCTTCATGGAGGAATGATAGATCGACAAGGTCTGCTTCATGTGGGAGATATCATTAAGGAAGTCAATGGCCATGAGGTTGGAAACAATCCAAAGGAATTACAAGAGTTACTGAAAAATATTAGTGGAAGTGTCACCTTAAAAATTTTACCAAGTTATAGAGATACTATTACTCCTCAACAGGTTAGTGATAATTTCCTGAGTGATATCAAGAACACTTCATTTTTTTTTTGTCATTATTCTATTACATTCTATTAGGCAGATGCTTAATTGTTACTCTTTTGCTAAAGAAAGTTTGTGTTGGTAAAGTTTTGAATTTTTTTGTAATACTGTCTTAGTATTATAAAGGAAATAATAAAGACATTTATTTGTGAACATTATGAACCCTGTTGTTTGGGTTGTCTACAGTAGGTGTCAGAAAAGTCATAAAGCCTTTTAATTACTATAGTTGAAAGCATTTTTGATGAAAGCATTTTTTTTTTGATATCTCTTATTTTTCAAACATTATGTTAAGGCCTTTGAGATGGTGTAGTCTAGAATACCTCCATGTTAGTATTCTTGTAAGATATTAAATGACAGACAGTGTCAGATAGATTGGATTAAAGATGATATTGGACAATTGGTTTTTGTCACATTTTATGTCTATTTTAGGTGAAATGTGTAAATAAACAGGAGGGCGTGCTAATGTGCTAATGATAGAGATTATTTCCATCTCTTGTAATGGATGCTCTTGTAATGAGTATGACATAATCCTAGTACTTGAGGTTGAAAACAGAAGGACCCCAAAGTTTGAAATTTAACCTGGGATTCATAGTGAGACCCCTCAAAAAAGAAATGATGGCATTTTGTTTTTGAACTGTTCTTTAGGAGGTAGGATATACTACTTAATCATGACTTTCTTTCACATAGACCTCTGTAAATAATGAACTTTGTATTAGTTTCATTTCTGTTGCTGTGATAAAATACCCAACAAAAAGCTAATTAGTGGAAAGGGGGTTATTTCACCTTACAATTCCATCATGGTAGGGAAGCTGAGGCATGAACTGTCAAATAGCTAGTCCCATTATATCCACAGTCAAGAGCATTGATTAATACATAGTTGCTGACCTGCATCTTTGTGCTCAACTCTATTTCTATTATTACACAGCCCAAGACCTCCTGCCTAGGGAATGTTGCCACCACAATAGGCTGGGTCTTTTTATATCAATTGATTTAAGGTAGTCCCCCACAAGCATGCCTGTAAGCTAATCCAGTACAGATAGTTTCTCGCTGAAATTCTTTTCTCCAGTTAATTGTAGACATGTCAAGTTGTCAGTTAAAACTAACCATATTGCCATATTTTACAAAGAAAACAATCATGAAAAAAAGACACTAGAACTTAGACTATGCCTGTTGTTCTCAGGCTATTTCCCCCCATTTGCATATTTCTATTTGTAACAAAATGAGACCTATTTGAACCTGAATGTGTTGGAAGAATAATAAATAACAAATAATAATAATAATAATAATGATAAATACGGTGACAAGAAAATTATGATTTAGTAAAGTAATAAATGATAACTTGTTGTTTTTATTATATATTAATTATAATGGGAAAATAATATTTTCCTCTGTGGTCCCAACCAGAAGTCTTATAATTAAGTCACCAATGTGCATTAATTACTTTCTCATTCTGTAACAAAATACCTAACAGAAGCACCTGAAGGGGGAACAAGTTTATTTTGGTTCATAGGTTGACAGAATAGTTCATAATGCTGGGAAGATCATGGCAACAGGAGCTTAAGGCAGCTGGTCACATTGTATCCATAGTCAGGAAGCAGATAGAGGTGAATGCTGATTCTCAAGTCACTTTTTCTGTTTTCATTCAGTCCAGGACCCAAGACCCTGGGATAATGCCATTCACATTTACTGTAGACCTTCTCTACTCAGTTAAACCTTTCTAGAAACATCTTAATAGATATTCCCAGAGGTGTGTTTTCTTGGTGTTTCTCAATCCTATCTAGTTGTTGATCATACTGTGTATAATGGACTATTATAAGCAAAAGAGCTCTTTGTTTCCTGTGTAAATTTTGTATTTGGTGAATGGAAAACTGGCTTCAGTACATGGATATTTAGCTTTAGTTTAAGTATAACTTTTTTCCCATTCTATAATTTTTTAGTTTTATTTGGTCTTTAGAACTAGGGAAGAGGATTCAAGTGTGAAGTGGGGAGAATTGGTCATATGAACCCATTTAACAGCCTCTGGCATATCCTACTATGAAAAAGAGCCTCCAACTGCACTCAAATTAGATTACTCCCTCCCTCCCTTTTCCTCCTCCCTCCCTTCCTTCCTTCCTTCCTCTCTCCCTCCCTTCCTTCCTCCCTCCCTTCCTTCCTAACAGAAAGTCATTATATTGAAACAGTAAGTATAAACCAAGACTGTCCTAGACAAACGTTGGGTATCTTAGAGATGCTATGTTTAAGGAGGGGCATTTGCCCTCAGCTGATTTTCTCACTAGTGCATTGGCTCCTTCCCGAAGCTGCTGTGTTCCTTTCTGCAGTCTCAGTTACCCATTGCCAACCACAGTCTAAAAATAGTAACTGGAAAGTTCCTGAAATGAGTCAAACTTTTAAATGTGCATCATTCTCAGCAGTGTGAGGAACTTGCTTCACATGTGTAGTTCCACCCAGAGCCTGATCATCCCTTTGTTCAGAGTACTGTATATAGTACCCTGCACCACCACTAGTAGCTTTCTCAGCAGAACACATGCTGATGTATCAGTGTTTGTATTCAAGTGACTGCTGCCGTGGTGTGTCACAACCTTAAAGCATAAGGGCTATCAATTGAGATAGGCTAACTCAAAAACCTTGGAGTGCTTCCTACTAGGTAATGGCAACAACTTTTAATCTAGCATAAAAACAGAAAGATTCCTATGCTTTAGTTGCTAAGATCTATGGTATGATAGCAGCATACAGCAGATCTTCTGTCCATGAAATTATGAAGAAAAAGAAATATGCTAGTTGACTGTCTCACCTAAAGCAGGAATTTATAGCCACAGTGCTTGTTAAGTGAGTGCATGGTTAATAGTAAGTTATAAAGTGTGCTATAGGTTTAGCATCCATTGCACATGTTGGAATGTATCTTCCATGGAGAAGTGAGGAATCCTGTCTTTGGGACCTATTGTCTGTCTTCTGTAGATTGTTGTTATAGTAGAGGGAAAACAAAAGCTATCAGGCCAGGGTAGTTTTTTTCCTCAAAATATGACAGTAGATCCTCTTGTCTAAAACACTTGAGGTGCTGGCTTATAGTCTAAACTCTTCTATGTAAGAGTAAGGTTTTCCTGCCAGCCTGGGCCCAGAGCAGCGCCAGCCCCAAATAACACACCGAGACTCTGTATTTGATACAATGCTATTGGCCAGGTACTAGTTTCTTATCAGCTAGCTCATTCTTAAGTATTAACCCATTTCTATTAATCTACTTATTTCCACATGGTCTCACCGGAGAGTGGGGCCAGCGTCTGCTCTCTCCAGCCTCTACATGCTGACTCCTCCCTACTACTTCCAGAATCCTCTTGTCTCCTAGTCCCACCGATCTTGCTTTCCTATTGGCCAATAAATAGCGCTTTATTCATTAACCAATAAGAGAAACATATTTACAGAATGACATCTACAATCATTTCTATGACACATGTGATGTATATTTTACAGTGTAAGAACCAGGATAAACTAAAGATATATGACTTGGGTTTCTGGAAGGTATAAATAATTCTGCTTATAAAACCTGTATTAACTTTTACCTCTATGATAAATGGTTTGGGGTGCTATATATTTTAGCTCATGATTTTAGAAAGTTCAGTCCAGGGATACTTGGCTACATTTCTAGGCTGTTGAGCCAGAGCATAATTGTAGAATAGCATGATGAAACAATGTAGTATGGTAGGGCTAAAAACAGAAATAGGAAGGGGCAAGGGCAAAGTATGTCCTTCAAAGTCATGCTTCTTATTGACCTATTTCCTCCACCTAGGCCTCACTTCCTGACTCCCATTCAATGTGAATTAGTACTTATAGTCTACCCACCTCTCAGTGATTGGATCCACCAGATGGAATCCAAGAATTTAACACATGAGATTTTTAGGAGATAAATAAATCATAACAAAGACAAATTGCTCACAATCCTCTTTTGCTTAACCTTTATGACCAGCATGACCTGGACACCAAGAGTATTATAGGAAAATAAATTACAGCTTTATTTCATTCAACAAAATAATAGCAAATCAAAGTTAATTTTCTGTAAAAAAAAAAAAAAAAAAAGATAGTTTGTCCAGGTTGAATTTTTTGAAAGTATGCTAGTATAGAGATCTTATAAGAAAATACACATGTTAACAAATAAAAAATAACCTCAATAGATACGTGATTAAATTTATCTCAGATTCATGTTTCTTTTTTATAAGTACTAATAAAGTAAGAAGAGGAAGGTCCTAACAGTTGGAAGTTTGCCTGTATAGTGAGGACATGACCACTCCAAGTGTGATTGAGAGGAAGGTTTTTATTGCAGATAAGAGGGAGAGAACAGCCTGAGGCGTCGGAAGAGTCCAGAGCAGAAAGAGAAAGTAGTAGACAGAACATGGCTAGCAGACTGACCAGACCAGGAAAGGAGAGGAGGGGGGGGGGGGGTTAGTGAGAGAGGAAGAGAAAAGAGAAAAACAAGAGAGAGGACCAAGAGGATACATGACTGAAATGGGAGGCTTATATAGGGATGAGAAGCTGGGGGATGGAAAACCAAGAGCTGGACCAGTGTAAGATGAAGGGTAAGGTGAGAAGAGATGAGAGGAACCAGTTACTGAGTGAACCTGGAGGCCAGCATGGCCTTGGTATGCCGAAAGGCACCAATGACAGCCACCATTCATCCAAAAGAAATTTGGACCTGACAGCTTCAACATCGGAAGCAGGACTCTTAGTTAGTCTGCCTGCCACCTCAAGACAACCAACTTTATTCCCCCATGAGGTCTCATTTCCACCAAAGTAAAACAGCCCATCATAAATCAGAGGAACTCACCATATTATACACAAGTGTGCATTGGTGAGAGAAGTGTCCTCAAATGATTCCACTATAGCAAATTCTAAAGCTCTAGGTTTCCTTATAGATGTTAGGAATAAGTAGATTCTGATGCTAATGTTTAGTATGTTTGCAAACCAAGGAATAG